GTCCAATCCTCCCCCCCCCCCTTTTGCTAATGTCAGGCTGTCAACTCATGAAGCTTAGACAGCAGAGATACGGTCACACCATGATACACACACATATAAAATAAATGTATATGACTGCCAACTCCCATAATGATATTAAAAGCAAGCAGTATAAAAACCCAACCCAGGCAACCCCACTATATATTATTTTAGATTTAGATTGTAATAGACACAATCATTGGCTGGTCAGGATACAATTTTAAAGCCCTCTTCCTTTCCCAACTAAACGGTGTTCTGAAATAGGCTGAGAAGACTTTTCTGGGTTTCGATTGGGAATCCAATGCAGAATGCCCACCACAAGTCCCTGCTTGGCGTATGTGCATAGCTCCAGCCTCAGACTGCAGCTTTGTTTGGGCTTCCTCTCCAGAAAAGCTCAGCAGAAAAGCCCTGGCCAGCCCCACAGTCAATACTGCCTCCAGCTCCAGCTCAGGAGTATCTGAGAGAGGAAGGGAGCTGCAAAGCTCTGCTGACAGACCTGAAGGGCCCCAAAAGCCATCTCTTTATTGGGACCGAGATGGCCCTGCCACAAGGAGCCTTCCTACCTGGGGGCATCTGAGGAAACGTGGCCAACTCTTGGCCTGAGCACAATCCCTTCCCCACCTCCTGGTCTATCCAGGGTACTTGGCACAATCATTGCACAGCAGCGCTGAAGAGTTGCCATTTCCCCCCAATTTTACTTTCTCTCTTTCACTACTCCAGATGACAAACCAAAGAAAAATAGCACAGAAACGCAGGAAACAAAGCAACTGAAAATTCCGTTTTCTCACAGCTAGAATCCCAGAAAACATGCTGGACTTCCAAACCTTAATGCTAAAATGAGGCAGAGAGTGGGAAGCAAACTAAGGGCCTGCATGGAGCTGGAGCAGTCACCTGGGAAGAGGCAACTGGTATGGACTGTCTAGTACACAACCAGATCTTCTCCCATAGCCTCCCTTTGCAAAAGCCCAACTCCTTGAGGGTTTGACTGAGACGAGACACAGACCGCAGGCACAAGACAGCAGAATATTGCAGCAAGCTTGAGCCTGAAATATTTTTTACAGACTTGTGGCAAAGTCCAGATTTTGCAAGCCAAAGTTTCCCAACCTGGTAACTTTCAAATGTGCTGATGATACCTTAGAGTACAGCTAACACAGAGAAGACAATCTAAATACTTGTGTAAGAGCTGAACATCGGAAGAATCTTTGTTTTGACATCAAAGTGTAATTTGGGAATATGATGGCAACACAGGAAATGTGAGAAATGGAGATTTGGTTTAATGTATCTCACATACTGATTCTGAATGAGAAATCTGGAATTTGTTTAGTATAATTAAGTCTGATGATAGCTCAGTTTACATGGTCAGAAAATGTCTGCAGCATGATCACAGGGGCAAGATCAGAGAATCAAAATGTTAAAGGAATCTAAGACCACCGAATCCAACTCCCTATTCAGGACAGGAGCCCAAATTAATACATCCCCAAAGACTAACGTTTGTTTCAATACAGCCAGAGAAAGGAAGCCCACCACCTTTTTTGGACTTAACTTTACACATTCTTCCTATAATTTAAATCCATTATTTCACGGCCCAGACCCTGATAAGACAACAAGATTGCAACCATCCTCCAGTATGGCCTAGTCTAGTCAGCTTGGTCTAGAGTTGAAGGCTTCAGGCTACAAACCAGGAGATCCTGAGTTTAAGTCCCTTCTTAGCCATGAAAGCCGACTGGGTGACTTTGGGCCAGTCCCCCTCTCAGTCCAACCCACCTCACAGGGCTGTTGTTGTGGGGAAAATAGGGGAGGAAGGAATGTTGGATATATTTGCCACCTTGCGTTATCGGTAAAAATATTAAAGGCAGGATACCAACCAACCAACATGACATGATTACAGGTATTTGAAGAGGGCTCTGTCTTCAGTCTTCCCTTCTGAAAGTTAATCCTCCAAGTTCCTTCAGTCTCTCATTACGGGAATTATTTATTTTCATACTATTTCTCTAATGTACTATGATAGTTTTAAATTTTGCTTTTACCTTTTGGGATATCAACAATCCCAACTATGTCTGTCAACCGCAAATCTGTTAAGCGTTTGTCTTCTCTATGCAAATGGTTAATAAACTATAGTTTTTACAAACTACAGAGTCCAGGGCTGAAACATCCGACAACCACTGAAAGAATCTACAGGGCTTCAGTTTATGCAGCAAAATCACATTCCGTATCTGTAAACACCCCGGAAGACAACAGGCATTACTGAAGATTATGATCTGTTTTGCAAAACCACACAATCTACTAAGGTTTTACTCATCAAGCCTTCTTCTCCTAGCAGTGAAAGTACTACTGGACATGTGCAAGCAGGAACTGTAGCATTGTGTCAAAGTGTTGTCTCCTTCCAATATAACTCTCTAGAATTCCGTCAAGCTGCTTAACAATTAACAGGCCTGGAAATGAGAATTGGGAAGACGCCGAGAGAGTTGACCTAACTTAGGAAGAAAACAATTGGAAGGAACCACCGGAGCACAAAGTGATGAAACTGTCAAGCAACCGTGCAATGGCTTAACATTTTCCACTTTCCCCCAGCCCAGCACAGCACAGAAAGGAAAAAAAAAAACCCACAATGTTCTTTCTACACAATGTAGAAACAATAAGCAGCAAACATTATTGTAGCATTTTATAAGAGAAGAAGGTAGAAGAGAGGCAGCTTCTGGTTTACTAAAACGACAAAGAAGTTCCTTAAAGAGGCACCTGGAATTGGTGTGGTTCTTTCTTTGAGCAGAAACCACAGCTATCTCCATCAGACCTACACATATGACAGGCTGTCCCCACCCCCATCCGATGTGAATCAAAAGGAGAACAGACCATATGCTCAACATTTGCAGTTTACCATTCATTCATATACAAGGAAAGCAGATTGTGATGACTTGTCAAAAGAATTCAGAAATTCTGGTTTGTCACTGAAGCCACAGAATCCGGCCACAATAAGCCAATATGGAAAGGGAGAGAAAGAAGGAGAAAGAGAGAGATGACAAGGAGAACGGTAGAAACCAAGATGTTGGGAAATGGTGAAAAAAAAGAGAAGCGGATCCGGGAGGGCAGCTCTGAAGAAAGAGAACAGGCCACTGCAGCGAGGAGAAGGGGAAGCCCAGCAAGGTCAGAACTGGGTCTATCCCCCCCCACACACACACACCTTCTGTATCTCAGCTGCAAAGAATGTTTCCCTGCTTAAATTTTGGCCTGCATGCAGAGGATGCATTGAAATTCACACCAAGGCAGCAAGACAGAAGCGTCCCGTGAGATCAACCCTTGATTTCCCTAGAGCAGAAGCAGGGATAAGGAGGACAGAATCCACAAAAGGAAGGAAGAGGGCTGGGAGCTAGCTACCCTATGCATGGAAGTTGTGGTCCGACACCCCTGGGAGCCCCCCCGAGCCTAGGAATGGATGTTCTGGGTAATGAGATCTGCGTTACTCCTGGCCAATAACATCCACCTAATGCAGTGTTTCTCAACCTTGACCATTTTAAGGCACGTGGACTTCAACTCCCAGAATTCCACAGCCAGCATTGCTGGCTGTGGAATTCTGGGAGTTGAAGTCCACATGCCTTAAAATGGTCCAGGTTGAGAAACACTGACCTAAGGCCTTGGGACTCCTCTACCCACGTGGGGCGACCCACGCTCTTCCACACCAGCTCAGCCTCCAGAGCTCCAAGATCCGCAGTCGGGGCGAGGGGCTAATCCTTCACCCGAGGCGCCTCTGCCATGCAGGCCCACCCCAAACCCGGCCTGAACCCTGGGGACAGCAGCAGTGCAGAGCCGGGGGGTGGTTGTGGTGTCCTCTGGAGCAGCCAAGGGGCAGCGACGGGCTTCCCAGTCTACTTCCTCGGCCCCAACTCCAGCCGTGGCACCTGCCACTGTGCCACAACATGGGAACCCCCCCCCCGCCATCCCCTCTTCCCCCAGCTCGGGGAAAGGAGGGCAGCTGCTCCCTGCTGGGCCCCGGCGGAGACACTGACAAGCAGCGCTGTCCAGCTCGGAGCCCGACCCTCCTCCCAAGGCCTCCCGGGGCCCCCGTCTCCGCAGTCCGCAGGCACGGGAGGCCCAGGTAGGCTGCCTCGACACATGGCGGCTCCACCGCGGGGGCCAACGTCACCCGGCCCGGCCGGCCGGCAGCCACGACTTCCGAGGCCGAGGCAGTCTCCCTCGCGCCCCCCCCCCCACTCAGGTAGACCAGCCCCGCGCGTGGAGGCTCCACCTGAGGCTGGGGGGGGGCGGCCGGGGAAAGGGGGGGTCGTCTCCGGCGGGGAGGCGCGCTCACCTCGTCCCACCCGTCCCTCGAGGGGGTCCTTCCGGAAGTGGATGCCGTGGACGTCCACATGGGCCTCCCCGCCCGCGTTCACGGCCCAGACCACGCTCTCGGCCAGGCTGGCCCCGGCCACGCTGCCCGGCGGCGGCTGCTGCAGGGCCAGCAGCGCCAGCAGCGCCGCGGCCAAGAGCGAGGCGACGCGGAGCTGCGGCCCCCCGCCCGCGGCCACCATCTCCGGCTCCTTCCGCGCTGCCGCCGCCGCCTCAGCTCGGCAACGGCTCCGCCCCGCCGCCGTTGCCGCCGTCGCCGCTGCCCCTCTCGCACATGCCTCCCGCCGCCTCAGCCGCAAGGGGGCATCCCACCGTGCTGGCCGTGCCGGCTACCCTGACGCCGGCCAATCGCCGCGCGGCTCGGCGGGGTCGCGCCGCCTCGTTGGCTGCCGGAATCCCGCGATTTGCATATCGGCACGGCCGCCGGCCCATAGGTGCGCGGCGAGGGGACGGCAGCAAGGTACGTTGAGAGCGCAAGCGGACGAAGCCGATTGGGGGAAACCGTTTCGCCTATTGGCGACGCTTCCCGCCTTTTTGGGGGGCAGAGCGCGGCCGTGGCCCGTTCCACGGCCACCTGATGGGGGCTGCGAATATTCGCTTCTGTTTGGGCAGCCTCGGCTCTCTGCGGCTTATTTACCACAGAGAGAAGGGAAACGGAGGAACTGCGCTGTCTCTATTTTCCCCGGCAAACGTTTCCCCACATTTCCCCCGCCGGGATCTCCCCCGATCTAGTGGTAGAGCCCAAACATGGCTGTCCAATTAGAAAGCTACAGCGCGGCTTCTGAGCGCGGTGGATTATGGAGTCGTGCTGGCAGGAAACCGGAAGTTGATACACGGGTGCTCAGAGGCCTGCTGTTGCCATGGCAACGCACGCCTGTCCTCGAGTAGCGATCCCCTCGTGAGAACAGCGCTGGATTCGCGCTCCTGACTGAACCCGGGTTAACGTGGCATTCAAGCGAAGCATCTTATTGCTTCCTGTGACGAAGTAGCGGCTGCTTAGCCACATGGTTTATTCGCAACCGTTGCCATTAAGTCTTAAAAAGCCCGTGGAGTTGATTTAAAATAACTATAATTAATGTGTAAAGCTATGTTTTTTCCAACTTGGCAACTTTAGGATGTGGGGACGTCAATGTTTTGCTGTTGTAATAAGTTACTATTCATTGTGTATCTGCACTTTGCCTAGAAATAAGAGCGTAATAAACAGAATCACTATTACCGCTGGCATTTGCACATGTGCAGAGTGCATTTTCTTCGCTCCTGCTTGCAGGCCTTTGGCTCCCTGCTTTTCCCCGCGTCTGGACTTCAACAGCTGCAGCTCACAACCAGCAGCCCGGGGATCATGGGGGAATCCAGTCCTGGTGCTTGAAGGGGTTGTTGAAAGACCATCTATTCGGGCTCATCAGGAATCCAAATTGAAGCATCCCTGAGGATCGTCATCAAACTCTTGTGGAAAACGAAAGAACTCTTACGAATTCCAGAGGGGTTTAGCAGAGAGGTTTATTTGCGCAGGTTCAGAGGCATATGGAGACATGCAATTCTGAACAAGGAGGGCAGTTTTATACTATCCTTTCAGGAACAAAGGACTACACACATTGTAATACACATTGTAATACATTTGGATCGTTTCTCATGGGCATACAATGGAAGGTTTTGCTACATACAAAGTATCCATGTGCAATGCGCATTTGGTTAGCCACGTATTACTGACACAGAACTTTCCCAGTGAATTTTCCCAGTGATTATGCATTACATCATTATTCTAGCAATTATGCAGACAAATCATTATTCTAATAATTGTTCATTTTACTACATTAAAACTACTCTTGCCTACTGGAGCAATGTCTTTTTTTAAGGTTCAAAAATCAGAATCCCTGATTTTGTCCTTGCAATCGGCCCCCGCACAGCATCCTTCAAGCATCTTTTGAAGAGGGTCGCCAAGTTGTGCTCAGAACTAGAGAGGGATTTCATCAAAGCAGGACGGTGCCTAATGCTTACCCTCTGTGGTTCGAAAATTACACTTTTGATGAGGCAGCTCAAAATTGCATCTGACTTTATTTTACAGCCACATCACCCTGCTGGCACAAATTGTTTACCGTTCCAAAGTCCTTTTCATGTGGGCTGTTATCAAGCCAGGGATCTCCCATCCCATCATTATAAATTTGAACTGTTTCCTCTTTAAAAAGTGTGTTGCCTTTGCCAAATTTATTCTATTATTTCCAGTCTAAATCTCTCTTCTATCCTTTCTGACTTCTTCTTCCAAAGCCGGGCTCTCCATACTAGGCAACTTTTAAGACTTGTGGGCTTCAGCACCCAGCTATGGGACCTGAGAGTTGAAGTCCAAAAGTTGCCAAGTTTGGAGACCCCTCTTAAAGAATATGTTAACAACCTATTGATCTGCATTTTTGATAAACTTTCCTTCCTCTTGCTCCTCCTCTTCCTCCTCTTCAAAACATTGGATTGCTGGCTCTTGCTCATTTGCTACTTCCTTCCTCACTATCAGTTGCCCTCGATGTCAAGTCATACATGTCCAGGTGGAAAAATTGTGTCTGGCATTCCAAGCTCTATCCTGCAACGAGAATCAACCATCAGAAAGTTTGTGGTGATCACCCTTTCCTCGCTTTCAGCCCAGCTTTTTTCCTGTGTGACAAATTTCAATACATTTGTGAAGATTTTTTGATATAGTTTTTCTATGATAAGAAACTTTCAAGTGGGTGGGAAACTATACGTCAGGGGTGTCAAACTGCTGGCCCACGGGCCGGATTGCTTCATGCAGAAGCCATGCCCACCCCAGCTCTGGCAAGGGGAAAAAAGTCACTGCAGCTCTCCACTGATCTGGGCTTTATGGCCGAGTGGCTAGACGGAAGCCTGAGTGCAAAACACATGAAAGCCAGCTTGGAGTTTGCAAAAAAGCACCTGAAGGACTCTCAAACTGTGAGGAACAAGGTTCTCTGGATGAAACCAAGATTGAACTGTTTGGCCTCAATTCTAACCGTTATGTCTGGAGGAAACCAGGCACCACTCATCACCTGCTCAATATCATCCCAGCATGGTGATAACAGCATCATGCTGTAGGGGTGTTTTTCAGCAGCAGGGACTGGGAGACTGGACAGGTTTGAGGGAAAGCTGAATGGAACCAAGTACAGGGATATCCTCAATGAAAACCTGTTCCATAGGGCTCAGGATCTCAGACTGTGCTAAAGGTTCACTTTCCAACATGACAACGATCCTAAGCACACAGCCAAGATAACACAGGAGTGGCTTAGGGACAACTCTGTGAATGTCCTAGAGTGGCCCAACCAGAGCCCTGAGTTGAATCCTGTTGAACATCTCTGGAGAGACCTGAAAATGGCTGTCCATCGACGGTCACCATCCAACCTGACTGAGCTTGAGAGGATTTGCAAAGAAGAAGGGCAGAAAATCCCCCAATCCAGGTGTCCAAAGCTTGCCCCGTCACACCCCAAAAGACTCGAGGCTGTAATTGCTGCCAAAGGTGCTTCAGCAAAGTACTAAGTGAATTTCAGGTCTGAATACTTATACCAATGTGATATTTTAGTTTCTTTCCTTTTAATACATTTACAGACATTTCTAAAATTCTGTTTTCACTTTGTCATTATGGGGTACTGTGTAGATCACGGGCATCAAACTCGCCGCATCAAGTGACATGTCACGACGTATCGCAACTTTTTTTTGCATTGCCGGAGCTGGGGTGGGCGCGGCCTCCGTATGATGCAACCGGCCCACGGGCCGGCAGTTTGACACCCCTGGTGTAGATTAATAAGAAAAATAATGAATTTCAACAACTGTAGAATCGGGCTGTAGTGTAACTAAATTGACAACAGTGAAGGGGGTATGAATGCTTTCTAGTGCACATATATAAATATGTGGACATTACAATATATGAGACAAAATTACATTAAGATAAAACCTTGATAATATCACCATAATATAGCACCATAGAGTCACAATAGGATAGATCAGGGGTAGGCAACCTTGGTTCTTTTATGACTCGTGGACTTCAATTCCCAGAATTCCTGAGCCAGCCAAGCTGGCTCAGGAATTCTGGGAGTTGAAGTTCACGAGTCATAAAAGAGCCAAGGTTGCCTACCCCTGGGATAGATGCTATAATTTACCATCCTAAGGAAGCTAACCATCTAGCTGCTTCTGGTGTGGCTGCAAAGAGATCACCCAAGATGCCTTGAAATTTCCTGAGGGGATATTCTCAAACTATATATGTTATTGTTTATTCCAATGCACCAGCCCAATGCAGGCTTTGGGCCATTCCCCACTTAAAGAGTGTTGTCTTAGTCCTGGCGTTGCGTGGCCTGATTCTATTCCGGTAGCTCTATATTTTTCAGGGCAGCTGTATTCCTGGAAGTGGTTTTGTTGAACCTGCATGATCTGTTTGGTTACAGTTATTAAAGGTTACCCATTTCAATCGCCCTTCTGCATCTAGATCAGGGCTCTCCAAACCTGGCAACTTTTAAGATTTGTTGACATGCTGGCTGAGGAATTCTGGGAGTTGAAGTCCACAAATCTTAAAAGTTACCAAGTTTGGAGACCCCTGATCTAAATCATAACACGGTGGTTCTGAATATTATCCCAAATTGGTTTCTTAGACTTAAGCCTGGTGGAAAGTCGAGAGTCTAATATTTTATGTATCAGTAGATCTCTAGGATATGATGGCCTGTTGATCTTATTCTTCTTTCAAGCTGTCTGTTTTTGTCGCCTGAAGAGGGGCCATGTTAGAAAGAACATGGAGCCAGGAGAGTGGTGTGGGTTTGGGGATTCAGATATTAGCCTCATTGTGCCATTAAGATGAACATCAGTCTTTTGAATTAACAGATCCTGAAGAGAATGACAGTGTCAAAGAAGAACCATCTTCAGAGCTAAGTTAAAGCTTTGGCATTAAAGCGGTGCAGAGAGTGGTGAAAATGGCCAAAAAGATCATTGGCAGTTCCCTCCCTCCCACCCAGGACATAGCACAGAAGCGTTGTTTGAGCAGGGTCCGTAAGATTATCTGGAACACTACACATCCTCTTCACAACCTGTTTTCCTTGTTACCTTCTGGGAGGAGGGGGCTTCGTGGTATCCGTAGCAGAACATCCAGATTCAGCCACAGTTTTGTTCCATACAGCATTAACTTTGCGAACTCTCAAGCTTCCTCCTTCCGTTATATATTCAA